GAGTTCAGTTGCCTAGGCTGGGGGCTGCAGAAGCCCCATACCTGCTCTGCTTCCCCTGGGTCCTAGTGCTGCTGTTCAACCCAGGAAGCTTTCTGCGGCCTTTTTCTGGTGTCTAACTTGCCTGTCATTCTTGTCATTTTTATCTCTCCCCTCCCCTTATTTGGTTTTATTTCTTGCAGTAATCTCAGTCTCCTGTTGTCTCTCTATCCAAACCAGTAGGCGCTTTGTAGTTACTATGGGCAAGGAGACATCTGCAGACTTTTAGTTTTGTTTAACAATGCAAACTCTCTAGAAAGTCTCTGTAAATTCTGGGCACCATGTATGCCCAGAGTGACTTTTTGAGGAAAAAGCCCAGACCTTGTCTCTTTTTCCTATCTTTTTGACCTTTTGTGAAAGACTCAAGCAAGTTTACATACTTCTGGAGGTTCCAAGAATCGCTGCAAGCAGACAGAATTCTTCATGCTAAGATGCAGATACCTGTATTCTAGTAATAAAAGAAGGCGGAGGTGGCCCACCTGGCAGGACGCAGAAAACTGGGCAGACTAGCTTTGTCTGACTGCAGGAAAATGGGCTGGCACTGTCCATTGGCGACACAGACACGTCCTCGTTGCCTGAACCTGGATTTAGGCATTCCAGGAATGTGATAGGCCAGTGAGGCCTTACCATAACACTGAGGAAAAGGTGAGGACCTAGGAGATCTTATCTCTTTTCTTTTTTCTTTTTACTCTCATTTCAGAAGTACATAAAGCAGATCTTAAACATGTATGCATTTTACAGGATTATGGGAACTCACTGTACTCCTAGTGTACATTTTACAAAACTGGCACACACAAGATTTCTTTAAATCATACAATTTAAATAAAAACTACTAGGTAGAGGGCTCAGTGGAAGGTAGATGGCTCAGTGGAATAAGCGCTTCCCTGGCAAGAGCAAGCAAGGGCCTGAGTTCAATCCCCGGTTCCGAAATAAATAAATAAATAAATAAATAATATTTTTAAAAACCTACTTTTTCTATAATTCAGCTTAGCTTCAATAAGTTACAAAGTAGAGACTTGTCCTCAAAAATGGAATTTCAGATTATAACACAGTATTTCAACTTGATTTGTTTTATAAAATGGAGGGAAAACAGACAGAAATCCCATGTGTTCAGGTTCCTGTGAACCTACACAGGTCCAAAATTGCATGTGTTCTGTAAAATTGATTATGTCCACTGCCCCTGGAACCAGTGAGCCAGAAGTAGACCCCACAGAAGACCTGCTCCTAAGTGCCTCAGCAGGGCTCCCAGAACCCCAGCTCCAGTAACAAGGCCAACAGCAGTGGCTCCAGAGCCCGCCTCTGGAAAGTTCCAGACCCCGTTAGCAAGTTCCTCTCCTCCATCTTCTCCCACAGCCTCTGCCTCTATCTCACTCCCTTATCGATGTCTTTAACCCCCGTACCAGAGAGACTCAGCTCCACGGGGGGGGGGGGGGGAGACATGGCACCTCTGAGAAATCTAATTGCCTCTAAACCTTCTGATATATGTCTGCTTCAGCAAGTAGGACCAGCGATATAGCTCAGCAGCATAGTGCTGGCCTGGCAACTGCAAGGGCCCGAGTTTGTTCCTGGTACAATAAACAAACAAACAAACAACAAACATGGAGGAAGGGAACATGACATTACAAGAGTACATGTTCCCTTCTCCATGACTTATCTGGACCAGTGTAAGTAAAAACTGGGTCAAGGCCAGGGAGATAGCTCAGTAGACTAAGGACCTGCCTGGCAAGCACAAGGTCCTGAACTCAATCCCTGGTACTGCATAAAAAAAAAAAAGAAAGAAAGAAAAGAAAAGAAAAAAGAAAGAAAAGAAAACCACCAAGTCAATTTTCAAAGAACCCAAATAAATTCATAGGTAAATTCCAGACTTTAACATTTGATTTAATTTTAGCTGAACTTCAAGTACTGTTTTCTCCTTTCTTCATCCTGAAAAGTTTCTAAATGGCAGGAACATAAGCTTGTACTAATGAAGCTCATGCCTGAGATATTACTAAGGCTGTTCCCCACAAGTCCCCAAAACCAACAAGGATCTTCATAAGCACAGCCATATGATTACTTGTTTGATTAGGAGATGAAACAATGCATAAATAAGGCATTGATTATAAAAAGACTAGAAAAATTGCCCTGAACAAGGAAGAATATCTGGCCTTGTTTCTGAGATGTTTAACTGAAGCTTTCTATAAATATACTGTTTATCTTAACTCAGATGCGGGGCAAATATTATTAGGAACATATTTTATTGGCTAGTCTGCTCCAGGCATTTGGAGAGAATGTCAGAGAAAACTACAGAGTTCTTAGACCTCTATTAATCAACTTCTAAAGATTAGTATTTCTTTTTTTTTTTAATTTATTTAGTGTGTGTGTGTGTGTGTGTGTGTGTGTGTGGGGCCAGCTCAGCCCACCAGGGGGCGCAGCTGGCTGGCATGCGGTGCTGGGGGATCGAACCGTGGTCCCTGTGCTTTGCCAAGCTTGTTCCAAGTAGGTGCTTTAAACCACTGAGCCATCTCTCCAGCCCAAGATTAGTATTTCTGACCTTCAACTATAGGAACAAAGTAGAAGAAACTGTGAAGGTCCTGAGATGTGACTACAGGCACAAGAACAAGCTTAATTAATTCTTTTGGCACTAAAGAACAAAACTCCACCTCCTCAGAAAAATCCCAAGGATCCATACTCAAAGAAGAACATGATGGACAGTAAAGAGACTCAACCTCGAAGAGACCAGAGAGTGGATACCACTAGGAGTGCTTGAACACTGGAGCAAGACTGCAGTCAATGTCGCCCTTCGTCACCTGGGTTATACCTCTCTGAGAAGATGGAAAACACTAGAAATGAGACCGCTCTTGCCTCTGAAGGGAAGAAAGGCCAACTGCTCCCATTATTGCTACCCTGGAAGACTGAAATTGTTTTCTGTGACAAAAGTCTAAGAACCTACTGGGGTGACAGTGGGGGTGGGGAGAAGGCGAGGTTCCTGTCTCCTCCTTGGGGGAAGCACCTTGCACCCCACTTGTTGACACATCCAGGTCTGTGGTGTAGGGAGACAGAACCGATCTACTAATCTGTGTCAGATTTATAAGATGTGCACACTGGAGCAGTCAGACAGCCTACGTCACACTGGCCCTTTGCTTCCTGTTTATTGAGCCAAAGAGTTGCTCATGCATACGGGCAGTCACTGACTTTTCCACAGATAAAAAATACATCTTGGAAGGGCATAATATACAATTTCCTTGTGCATCGTTGGACCCAAGTGGGGAAGCACTGTCAGTTAACCAGACACTGACCCTGAATTATCCCATTGTTGGATGTTATCAGTAATTAAAGAATTAGGATTTTAAGAATGCTTGCAAGCAAATTACTTCTCTTTGGATACTTTGTTTGGGTTAAAAGCTGGCTGTGAACCTTCTCTATAGATTCTGTGTACTATTAATTTAGAAGGATTTTTTTTTTTCTCTGAATACCATCAGGGCAGGTTTGGCTGGCTTGAGTTGTGGGGATCAAACCACAGCAACCTGAGCCTGACTGCTTTGTTGAAGCAGCCACTTGAACTGAGCTAAGGGGCAGGCCCCTAATTTAGATAAGGAATATGGTGAGTAAGCAGGGTCCAAAGATTAAACCTTAGAAAGGGCCCAAAGTAAAATCTGAGCAGGTAGTTAAAATTGTAGTTGGAGTGCCAGTGAAATGCAGCCCAGGGTACACTAGATGGTCACTGGCATTGAAACCCTTCTCTACAAACTGAGCTCATGGTTCCATAAATGACAGAGAGAAGTGGCAAGCCGAAGGAGGAATCCAGGACTGTTTCATTGGAAATGGTAAGAGGAAAAAGTTCATGATAAATGTCTATCAAGAGGGCATTCTGGGGCTGGGGAGATGGCTCAGTAGGATAAGCGCTTGACTGGCAAACGCAAGGATCTGAGTTCAATCCCGGGTTCCGCCAAAAAAAAAGAGGGCATTCTGAGTGGAAAAGCTGAACTGTGGTCCACACCCTGCTTCCGTATGTGTAAGTGCAGCACAGGAAGATAATGTTCCAAAACAAATGAGTTTAAAAGAAATGGTTGTCTTGCATTTTTGGCTTCTCAAGGTCCAGTTGAAATTCAAGGCTAGAGGCCTACGGGGAGGGGCTCTTAGAGCTGTTAAGGAACTTAGTGCACTAGCTAGAAGTTCCTGGAAGGAAGAACCCTTCTCTCCTTTGCATTGTCAGTGTTTTATCCTTTATTCTTGTGTTTTCCTTTACATGTCTAAATTTAACCCTCGGCTTGATTACCCAGCTCCCTGAATGAACTCTTCTCTCCAACACTATGCTTTGGCTGCTCTAGTTATAATAAAGAAACTGAGCTACTACAGAATCACTGACAAATTGATTTTCTTTTTATCCTAACCATAAAAGTCAATCAAATTTTCTTTTTTGGCAAGGTGCTGGGAATGCAGATGAAGGAACTGTTTATCCAGGAAAAAGAACAGAGTAAGGTAAAGAACAGCAGTAAGTACAATATTTATCCAGATCTGGTGTTTTTCTGGGAGAGCTGTTCACATCAGAGGATGCCTGTAACATTTCCTAGAAATTAGTGGTTTAAAGTAATTACTAGTGTTTTCAAGGTCAGATCTCGTACACGGGGTTATGGCTTCCTTCAGTGAGATACATGTGTCCAGAAATCAGGTCCTGGGAAGGTGGCAGCACAAAGGCTGGTCAGCAGTGGGACAGGAGGATGTCTGGGACACTGTGGCCAAAGGCAATTCCTGAGGCAAGGTTCTTACAAGGTAAAAAGTTCAGCAATACATGCCTGCGAGGGTTTCTTAGTGTTTCTCTCTGGGCCCCACTTTGGTTGGGCCTGTCTATATGAACATTAGTGGGTTTTCCTTTAGCTAGAAAGCAGGTTTGATTAGGAGCAAAAGGCTCCTAAGGTGTGTGCATGTTTACTGACAAGAAAAAAAAAAGGAGAAAAATAATTAACAAGCAATAAATAGCACACTCATTTTAGATTTCTGCAAATAAGCCCTTTATTATAATGAATACATGAGATTGCTTTCTGTCAGAGAGTAAATGAGTCTTTACAAGCTAATAAAGTTTTTTTTTTTTTTTTTTTTTTTTTTTTCGCAACCGGGAATTGAATTCAGGCCCTTGTGCTTGCCAGGGAAACACTTATTCCACTGAGCCATCTCCCCGGCCCCCACTAATAAAGTTTTAATACCTTGACTTACTAGGGTGATTGAAAATTTAGGGGAAAAAGAAAAATTTCTGATCACATTTCTTGATCTTACCAGACACAAGCATAATAATGCCACATAACACAGACCTGTCGTTTTGTCAGTATGTTATTCACAAGTTTTCATGGCTTCCCCAACAGCTGACTTAGGGGAATAACAAAAGGAGACACTTTCAAAGCCCTCTGTGATGGAGCAGAGGAACCCTCGCTAAGTAGCTAGTCCAACTGGATTTTTCTCTCCCCTTTTCCACTAACTTGATAGACTCAGCAAATTCTTTTCACTGTAAGCTCTACATACAAAAGCATTAATGAATTATGGCTGGGGAATTAAAGTAGCCGAGGTGAAAGCACTCGACATGCAGTAAAAATGCACGTAACGACTAAATCACAGAGTATAAAATCTGAGCAAGCTAAGCTGGCCAGAATTATAAGAAGCTTAATGCAGAAAAGCTCAGACTCAGAGATTTATGTCTCCATTTTTCGTGGATGCAACACACTTAACAGAATGTGTTACACAGAAAGAGCATGACAAATAAGCACAGGAGGCAGAACATGAGGCTTTTCAAATGCATCACTTGTCACCATCTAGATGTAAATCAGAGCCCAGACACTGGCTGTAACCAACATCTGATGGCATCTAGGCATCGAAATGCACGGGCACCTGAGGGTTACCCTCACAGGCAATGACAACTCGCCTGGTCCTCGCCATAGCCCGATACCTGCACGTGGGGGAATTTCCTATCTCCCTGCAGTCTGTGACCTTCACAACACCTTCATGACAGTTCATCAAACCATTCTTGCACCGGATATTGGTGGTGCTGCAGATGCTGCGAATGTTCCAGATGTCTTCGTGGATGAAACTGTTGAAGCGCTTACACCTTGGACTGGTCATCTTCCGTCTCTGCATCATCAAGTTACAGTAGCTGTCATTGCCACCTGTCTCCTGGGGGTCCACGTGCTGCCGCAGAAACCGCTGGTACATGCGATCCTGGCCATCGGAGGGCTGCACCAAGCCGAGCACCAGGGTCAGCAGCAGGAGCAGGAGCAGCGAATGGGTCCTCTGCAGAGCCATAACCACCTGCGAGGTGTCTAGAGAGCAAGAGAGGGGTCAGAGAAAACATGGTCAGGACTCAGCCCTGGAGAAACACACTGAGAACAGCAAGCTGGCCTCTCCTTGACTCCAGTCTCGTCCTTAGCCCTTGTTTTTATGTGTAATTTCCCGACTTTTCCCACCCTTACCTCCCTAACAGTGCATATTTTACAAACTGTATTTCTCTGAAAACAGAAGCTTTTGTTATTTTCTAGACCATACTTGGTGCAGCCCTGATGGCATTTGGTTGCCCAAGATTGTGTGGTCAGAGCATACAAAAAGATAAAGGCTTGGGAAGTGGGAACAAACCCTTCAAAAGGGAAGAGAAACTGGGATGGGAGAAATGAGAAAAGAAGGAAGGAGAAAATATATATGTTACGATAGCTACACTACTAATGTCTATTAATTTCCTGAAAAGGTTTGCATTTATATCTTTTCTTTCTTTCTTTTTTTTTTTTTTTTTCCTCCTCCTCCTCCCCCCTTCTTCTTTTTTTTGCAGAACCGGGAATTGAACTCAGACCCTTGCACTTGCCAGGGAAGCGCTTATTCCACTGAGCCATCTCCCTGGCTCCTGCATTTATATCATTTGATCAATTTTTCATGCCTGTATCGTATAATCGCAACAATTTCTTTGAAGGTAACAATAAGTGCTTAACCATTGTTAACTTTTCTGTCTTGGTTTGAAATTTTGAATCATTGTGTTTAGGGATTTTTTTTTTTTTTTCACTTTAAAATAAGGGAAAGGCAAATCTACACAAATCTGGACTTATCGGCCTTTTCAGGTAATTACGTAGTATGATCCTTGGGGAGCGCTTTGGTCCCTGGAGGCTCCACTTTGCATTGAAACAGGTCAAGGGGATTTTACATGCCGATTTCGTACTTTACATCTAGGAATTAAGGGAAGTGGAGAAACGAATAGGGTAAAATTTCAGTCTGGCCTTTCCTCTCTATTTTTCTACTGGTGTAAAATTGGGGAATTTTTTAAAACATTATGATTGTTGTATTTTTTAAAAGGGGGCGGATGTTGAAGACTTGCTCAGAACCGCCTCTCTCTACCAAGGTTCAGGGGATGGAACCGGGACCAATCAAAGACGCTGCTGTCACCTAGTGGTCACTCCTGGGATTAATATCGACTGTGATTCCCCTGTAGTCTTCCAGGGTGGAAAGGCCGACTGATCCGAGCACACCCATTCCCTCCTTCAAGAAGGGAGCAACCTACAGCAACAATGACAATTTTTCAGAGTCAAATGAACCATTTTTAGTTGTACAGCCTACGGGCTGGCCCCAGCAAAGTCTCGATTCAATGTACGAAGACACTGCTGTTCCGTCCTTCCAAAGGTCCTGCTTCATGATGACCGGGTCAACTGTCTGAGGGATTGAAATAAATGCCTGCCGAGGGACCTGTCCTTCAGAAGCCTCTCCTTTGATTAGTGACACTGGCCAGCAGCAAACAACTAGCTCTTAAGTCTCGCCTCCTATCCATGGTCATCTTTTTGCCTCTGCACATAAAGACATAAAGCTCCTTGTCCTATTACTGTGTCTAGTTATACCCGCAGGACACTGTTAGGAACAGAAGAGGTAAAGAGACCTGAGGAGGAAGGGTGTCAGGGGAGGCTGGGGCTCCACTGCTCCTTGAGGTCTCCTTGCTCCATGGGCACAGCCCCTGAATGCACACTTGCACTTGGGTTTTAGCTCCAGCAGAGCAATGTACTTGGGTGTTTTTTTCTGATGATTCCTCTAGCCTTACACTGTTTTCATCTACTTGTGCTCATTCTTTTTGTGACCAAGGATATAGTTCGATTTAGTAAGAAAACGGACTACAGAAATGACTTAAATTATTCATGAGAAAGCAAGTCCTTGCCAGGTATGGTGGCACACACCTGTAATCCCAGCACTTGGGAGGATGAGGCAGGAAGATCTCCACGAGTTCAAGGCTAGGCTGGGCTACATAGTGAGTCCGTGGCTAGCCTGAACTATAGAGAAAAACCTTGACTCAAAAATAAGAACAATGGGGCTGGGGAGATAGCTCAGTGGAATAAGTGCTTCCGTGGCAAGCTCAAGGGCCTGAGTTCAATCCCTGGTTCCACCAAAAATAAATAAATAAATAAATAAATAAATAAATAAATAAGAGCAAAACTTCCAGCTGTATTAATCACATTAGTAAACAAGACAGAAAAATACCTGATGGCAGTAGTCCAATATAAACCTCAGAGGGTGCATCTCAGGGCTCCAGCAACAGCTGAGCACAATGTGACCTCCGAATCACCCCAACACATGCTTTCTGGTCAAGGTTGGCCCCAAAGGTTATTTCTGCATCATGATACACTGAAGAAGTTCTCACAAGGACGTGTACTTGGTGCTGAGATCTCAAGGCCCGGGGCAGGGCACACTAATGGCACAGGTTGGGCCCTGAATGCCTCCCCCAGGCACATGTGTTAAAAGCTTGGTCTCCCAGGGTGGTAAGTGGTGTTGGCTTAGGAGGCAGGGCCTGGCAGGAGTGAAGAGGAAGAACCAGCCCAACGCCATGCTGCACGCAGGTACCATCTCAGAGCTTGAGTTTCTGTTTCCTTAAGTTTGTTTCTCGTAAATGTTGCTGTAGTTACTTAACCCAATACCACCCATCTCTTGTCATAAGACCGCTTGTTCCCTACATAAAATGTCAAATACCTTTGTTCCTTTGTCACAAGCTAAGCCCACGCTTCACAGGAGTATTTCTCTAGCTGCACTGCATCTTATCAGAAAAAAACTAATCACCCCCCCACCCTCAGGCCTGGAACTAGAACTGTGTAAATATTCTCCCCTCCTGCCCTTCAGGGTCCAGGCTTGGTCATGTACTGGGTGCCTCTGCAGCTGGCCTCCCTGGATGACAAAAATAAGCACATTCACTGGAATAGGAGGAAGCTGGGCACTGCGTGGCAGGGTGCCCTGGAAGGCGATTCTGTAGCTCCAGCGCCTTCCTCTTCCTCTCGCTGCTCCTGCGCTCCCAAGAGGCGAGCAGCTCTTTGGCCATGTTCTCCCACCACAATGTTCTGCCTTCACGAGTCCAGAAGCAACAGGCCAAGTAATCAAAGAAGTCAGAGGACAAAAGCTCTGGAACACTGAGACAAAATAAACTTTTCCTCTATTTAAACTGATTATCTCTGGCATTTTGTCACAGGGACAGAAAGCTGACTAAACAGTGTGTGAACTCAATGAAATTCTTTAAACTTCTTTTAGCATATTTCCTTAGAAGTTAAATGATCATAACAACATCTTTCTCTTAAAAGGCTGTGACTAGTAAAGGTTAAAATTAATAGAAAGTATTTATAATAATGTCTAGCATATAGGACAATTATTATTCTTACTATTTTGTTTTTCTTGTTTTCCTCTACTGTCTTCAATTGGGGTAAAACAATGAATGACTAGAATTGAGTTTCAGTAGAGATCACCGACTCCCTTTACGTCATAAGAGTTTATTGGGTGTAACTGGAAGTCTGTTTTAAATTATTCACTTGAGATAAAAAGACTTTCTGTAACTGCCCAGTGGTGCACTCCTATAATCCCCGCAATCAGAGGCACTGAGGCAGAAGAACTGAAAGTCTGAGCTCAGAAAGTTTGAGCCTGGGTAATTTAGTACCTTAGTGAGACTCTGTAACATAATTTTAGAATTTAAAAAGGGCTGGGGAGACAGATTTGCATGAGGCCTGGATTCATTCCTCCATACCACAAAAAGAGAAAGAGAGACTTGATTATAGTTTTTCTCAATGCTGAAACAAAATACACAATGACACAAGTTAAAGGACAAAAGGTTTATTTCAGCTCATAGTTTGTAGAAGTTTCAGCCCAGAGCCCACTGGCAGGGTGGCATCGCAGAAGGCACTGCAGAGAAGAAACAGTCCATGGCAGGGCAGGGCAGGCAGAGGGCAGCAGCAGCAGCAGCAGCTACAGCACTGGAGGCAGCCTGCCTTTCTTTCTGTCCCTTCTTATTCCATCTGAGCTACCTGCTCTGCAGGTGGAGCCCCCATAGCTAAGGTCGAGCAGCTATAATCCCAGCATCACAACCTTAATCCTAGCATCAAATTTTATATCTAGCCATCTCCAAAAGCCCCACCTATGAGGGCTTGAAGCTTTAAAGCTTTGGGGGGAATCTAGATATAAATCATAACATTCTGCTCCTGCCCTCCTGAAGAGTCATACACATCCCTTTTTGTTGAAGGCAACCAGTCCATTTCTAAGAGTTGCCAAAGTCCTAGTAGTTTCACCACTGTTATAAAGTCCAAGTTCAAAGTCTCTTCTAAGATTTAAGGCAAACTCTTAGTTGTGAGCCCTGGACAAATGAAAAAAAAAAAAAAAAGTGAAACGCTTCCAACATACAAGGGCCTAATCTAAACACTGCCATGCAAAAGGTACAAATAGGGCTACAGTGTGGAATGGGATCAAAGCAAGTCCAAAATCCAGCAGGGCAAACATTAACTCCCATAGTCCCATTTCCAGCATCCAAGGCAATCTGTGACACAACATGAAGTTCAGAGGGCTCGGGTGGCTCTGCCCCTACAACACTGCCAGTGGCTGTAGCTCCCACGGCTACTCTCTTGGGCCTGCTCTGCTCCCTCCTTGCAGTTTTCCTCAGACAATCCCCATTTCTGGCTTCTCCAACTTTCGAAGGTTTCCAGCACACCTTCGGTTTCACACTCACAGCCTCACGCTGCCCTCTCAGGGGCACACGGTCTGGTCTTCCAGGCCTTCTTCTGAACCCTGGATAGAAGTCTTCCTGATCCCATAACTCTTGCATTCTGAATGCAAGAGTTAGAACAAGCACCACGTGGACAATGCCAAGGTGTGCCACCAGCTGAAGCAGTGGCCAGGCTTCCTTCCCTGTTGGCTATAGGGGTCAAATGCCCGGTTTGGTTGGTGTTATGAACCTAATCCAGAGGCACAAATTTCCTAGCCCTCTGCCATTCTGAAACATGGCTCTGGGGCTCCCTTCTCAGAGAAAAATTTTTTCCCTTTCAATTTTGAG